TTGTCCTTCCTTGTTAGCGCCCAATCTGTTAATTCCAAGCCTTTACTGAGGCACAGTGCCCAGGCCATGCAGCGTGCAGATTCCACGTATGTACCTGGGTGTCCGGGCCCATGCAGCTGGTTTCTGAGATGAGAACATTGCAGCACACAGAATGCCCCTCTTCTGGGCTCTGGCACCCAGAGGATTTACCCCAAGATTCCTCTTGCTTTCTTCCATCGCGGTCACCCGTGTTCACACCTGCATTCGGCCATCAAGTTCTCACACTCCTCCAGTACTTGCAGTTAGTGGTGGTGCTCGCGGGGTTGCTGTGGTGCTCACAGGGTCACTGTGTTGCTTATGGGGGATTGCTGTGGTGCTCATAGGGTCACTGTGGTGCTTGCGGGATTGCTGTGGTGCTTGTGGGTCACTGTGGTGCTCATGACGGGGTCGCTGTGGTGCTTGCAGAGGGTCACTGGTGCTCGGGGCGGGGGTCACCGTGGTGCTTACGGGGTTGCTATGGCACTTGTGGGTCACTGTGGTGTTCATGACGGGGTTGCTGTGGTGCTTGCAGAGGGTCATTGGTGTTCATGGGAGGTCACTATGGTGCTCATGGCGGGATCACTGTGGTGCTTGCAGAGGGTCACTGGTACTTGGGGGGGGTCACCGTGGTGCTCACGGGGTTGCTGTGGCGCTTGTGGGTCACTGTGGTGTTCATGGCAGGGCCACTGTGGTGCTTGCAGAGGGTCACTGGTGTTCATGGGAGGTCACTGTGGTGCTTGCAGAGGGCCACTGGTGCTCGGTGGGGGGTCACTATGGTGCTCGCAGAGTCACTGTGGTGCTTGTGGGTCACTGTAGCGCTCATGGCGGGGTTGCTGTGGTGCTTGCAGAGAGTCACTGGTGGGTGTTCGTGGGGGGTCACTTTGGTGCTCATGGCGGGGTTGCTGTGGTCCTCACAGGGGGTCACTGTGGTCCTCACAGGGTCACTGATTCTCATGGGAGGGTCACTGGTGCTCATCGGAGGGATCACTGTGTCCACATCGTCTTGAAGTCTGTGATTGCCCTGGGTTGTGCACACAGCCGGCTGTAGCGGGCCAGGGACCACCCACCTTATTGCAATTCTGGGAGGGACACCTGTGTCCTACCAGATGCACCAGCAAACCAGGAGCCAGGGGTTTGGGGGCTCTAATATATTGGGGGTGTTGGGTCATACCCGGCGGCGCTCAGTACTTCTGGCTTTGCGCTCAAGGATCATTCCTGGCAGGGATTGGGGGATCATATGGTCACTGGGGTTCTAACCCGACTCACCTGTGTTGTTGGAACTGACACAGAGCAAGCATCTCCCTGCTATGCTATATAGCCCCTGGTTTATTACGCTTTTTTGGGAAAAGTTTTGACCTCTCAGTTGGTTTGTTTCTGTTGGGGGTTAACCCCCAGCAGTGCTTGGGATCACCTCTAGAGGTGTTTGGGGGATCAAACACATCGTGCTGGGGATCAGACCTGGGGCTCCTGCATGCAGAGCTGCTTTCCAGCCCTTCGAGCTCTTTCTGGGGCCCCTTGGGTAGATTTTGGTGAAGGAAGGGCTGGGAAGTCTCCCTGCACCTCTGACCCCCTACAGGGTTTCTGGGGGACATCCTGGAGATGCACAGAAGCCTGAATGTTTACCATCACTCCGCCCTCATTCTTGCCCTAAATGCAGCCGGGTGGGGCACCCCAGCTTTCCCCGCAGCGTTGCCGAGGGCTGGTGTGTGCGTGCGGGATTTTAGGCGCCTGTCTCTGTAGCTGATTGATGACACTGGCTAGCTGTCACCTGGGGCCTATGTGTCTAAAACAAACATTCTTTTCCCTTTGGACACAGTTGAGATTTGTGGGAAAGTGGCACAGTACAGGGTTCCCGGGGTCCTTGTCACTTGACCCCTCCCGATGCAGACAGCAGGGACAGGGACCTGATGACCAGCGCCCAACGTGCCTCTAGCCCATTTCCCAGGCTGCCCTGCCCGACCCCTCACGCCCAGCGTCTGGGGTGCACTCTGGTGTCAGCCTGTGTGTTCCCTGCTAGTCCCCCCACCGCCGGCCTCTCGTGGCTCCTGCCCTGGCCCTCTTGGCAAGGGTCCTGTACTTGAGTTGGTCTGATGCTTTCTTAAGATGGAAAAGAGGTTCTACTTCTTGGGTAGTCATACCCCGGAAATTAGGCCATGTCCTCTTCCTGTGCTCTGGCCCTGGGACCCTTGGCCATGTGACTAAATGGCGTCTAAACTGGGGTGGCCCCATGTGAAGTCACCCTCTCCCCCTTCAGTTTTCAAGCTTCTGCTTTTGCTCTGGATACAAATCTCGAATCTTGTACACCAGAAGCACCCCAGTGTTCTCCGTCAGGTGTCTCAGTAGGGGCCGAAGAGATAGTGCAGTGGGTAGGGCGCTGGCCTTGAATGTGGCCAACTGTAGTTCAGCCCCTGGCACCACATATAGTCGTCCCCCCACCCTCTGTCTTGCTAGGAGTAAGTTCAGAGTCCAGCCAGGTGTGGCCCAAAACCAGAAAGAAGAACTGTTATGGGGTGACCCCAACTTCCTGAGGTCCTTAATTTGGCCTGGTGATGAGAAGAAAGAGCTCTGGCCGGGGCATCCAGGACTCACGCTGAGCCTTCCCTGGCTGTTGGTCCCCTCCCTCGGACATGCCGGGAAGCTTCTCTGCTTGGCTCAGCCGTGCTATGTGTTCACGGCGTCATGGCTGCAAGCGGGAGGGAAGTGGCTCTTGGGCCGCCTCGGGAACCTGGACAGAGGCTGCCAGGTGAACCCTGAGTCCTTCATGGCTTGGACGAGGAGGGAAGTGGGGGGTGTTCGGGCTCCTTCCTGGAGTCCCAGCCTCCATCCTGGCATTTCCTGCGGGCGACACGCTCTGGTTTGTGAACGTTCTTGGGCTGAGCAGAAGCTCCTTCCTCTGATGGCCACAGCAGCCCCCACCGCCCATCCGGGGGCTCCGGCCTCCCTGGGCCAGAAACTGCTGTCCCGGGGCAGAGCTGAGATGGGTGGGGCGCAGGGTGGGATCCTCAGCTCTCCTCTGCTTCAGCTGCTGCGCCCCCATCCCTATGTGCTTATCCCCCTCCAGCGCACTGGCCCCTGCCTCCTTCCTGCTGCCCAGCTGGTCTTCTCTGCCCCACTTCATTCTCTCCTGTTTCTTCCTTTTTCCCCGCATTTTTTTTGTTTTGGGGTCACACCCAGCGGTGCTCAGCACTTACCCCCCTGCTGTGCACTCAGGAATCATGTCTGGGGCAGACCTAGGTTCAATCCCGCATTCCATACAGTCCCCCAAGCCTCACCAGGCATGATCCCCAAGTGCAGAGCCATGAGTTACCCCTGAGCACCGCTGTGCGTGTTCCCAAAGCACTTTGACAAGGGCACTGCCTGGGCAGGGGTGCTCGTAGGGAGACAGTGCTGGGAGTGGGGGCAGGGCGGGAGCCAGGGACAGGGCGCCAGAGGCAGAGTGCCACAGATGCAGGCTCCCTGGGGAACCCAGGAGGCGTCATAGGGGCTGGGTGAGGGTGGCTCACTCTGCTGCCATCCTCGGTCTTAGCCTTCCCTACCCGCATCAGGACACCCCCACTTCTTCCCATCTGTCCCCCGTCCTCACCCAGAACTTGTTTCCTGAACCCCAGATCTGGGTTCCTGACCTAAGCGATCCCCAGGTTACCATCAAATGCGGCTCTGCTTGGTGCCCATCTGCATGTGGGAGACCCGGCCCAGCTCCTGGCTCACTTAGTTGACCCTTGGGGCCACTGCCAACTGGGCCAGCCACTCACTCAGGTTCTGATCCTGAAAGCAGGGGCGCCCCGTTGACACCCCCAGTAGGGCACCCAGTTGCTCCTTCATCCTGACTGCCCACTGCAGGCAAAGCATGTCCAGCACCGTTGCTCATCCGTCCCTTCAGAACGCACACAGAGAGTGGGCACAGGGCAGCAGGGAAGACAGCCAAGCCGGGCTCCATCCCCGGCACCATACAGGGTCCTCCGAGCCCCTGAGCACTGCCCAGTGTGACCCAAAAATGGGGGAAAGGGCTGGAGCGGTAGCACAGCGAGGAGGGTGTTTGCCTTGCACGCGGCCGACCCGGGTTCAATTCCCAGCATCCATATGGTACCCCGAACATCACCAGGAGTGATTCCTGAACGCAGAGCCAGGAGTAACTCCTGTGCATCACCGAGTGTGACCCCCAAAAAGAAAAAACAAAGAAAAGAAAATGGAGGGGAAAAAATTTCTAAGAAATTTGGACGAGAATAAAAACTGGGAAAACGACGAGCACTCTAATGGACAGCAGAGCTGCTCTGGCGGCTCCGGCCTGTCCCCCAAGTTGGCGGACACTATAAGGCCACTGCGAGCAGAGGCACTAGCTCTGTCTCCCAGTCCCCTCCTCACACCGTCCTCCCCTAGTGACAGAAGCCCGCGGGGTCTGTGACTGTGGTTCCTGCCCTGTGACCGAGTCACCCACGTCACGCTCCTCTGCCACCGGCACAGAAGCACCCCCGCCCTCCCCCACCTTCTGCATCTCTGGAGGCCTGTGAATTCTTAGGCGAGTCAGGGGCCAGCAGCAGGGAGACACCCCCCCCCCCTGCTCACAGCATGCCCCCATGCCCCCATGCCCCCAGCAGACAGCGCTGGCCTGAAGCTTCTGTGCCTGCAGCGGGCAGGCGCCCCACCTCTCACTCAGCTGACCCAGGTTCTGTCCCCGGCACCGTGGATGGCTCCCTGAGCACAGCCAAATGTGGCCCCGGAAAACAGAGCGAAACAAAGTGCACCCCAGGATTGGGGAGAGCTTGCCGCCGGGCCGAGCATGCACTCAGCAGGCAGGTCTGGCTTCCGTCCCCAGCGGCCCCCAAACCAAATAAAAGACCTGACTAAGCTGCATGTGTGCCCACCCCTTCCTCTTTATCCCCATGGCTCTGAGCTGGACCCCACGGCGCCGAGGGATGGTGGGGGTGGTGGTGGGGGGGAGCACCCCGGAGTCAGACCTGACCCCTCTCTCCCCGCCCCTGCAGTGTACCACTGGGTGGAGATGCGGACCAAGATGCGCATCATGGGCTTCCGGGGCACAGCCATCAAGCCGCTGAACGAGGAGGCGGCAGCCGACCTGGGCGCTGAGCTGCTGGGCGAGGCCACCATCTTCCTGGTGGGCGGCGGTTGCCTGGTGCTGGAGTACTGGCGCCACCAGGTGCAGCAGCGGAAGAAGGACGAGGAGCAGCGCGCGGCCTGGGACGCCCTGCAGGACGAGGTGGGCCGCCTGGCGCTGGCCGTGGAGGCGCTGCAGGCGCAGGGCTCCCCGCAGGCCGCCCTGGACGAGCTGCGCCACCAGATGCAGGAGGTGCGGGCCCAGCTGGGCACCCAGGGCACATGCCCGCGCCGGGCCTAGGACAGGAACTCGGACGTGGCCTCCTCCGTGGCCGGCCAGCTCATCCCCCACGGCTCCCCCGGACCGTGGCATGGTGTGTGTCACCCCCGCTGACCTGTGCCCTCCTACAGAGAACAGCCCACCGCAGGGGTGCTTGTCTCAAGCCCCCCAGTATCGATGTTCGTGTGCCTCTCTCCACTCCTCACCCCAAACCCTGGGGCCCTGGCAGCAGGACATCCGGCCGGAGGAACAGCAGCACCCAGACTCGAGCCAGGTCCCTGTGGACCCCTCTGCGCCCTGGGACCAGTGCTCCCTTCCTTGGGGCGCTATCCCTGAGCTCCCTCAGTCCCACAGGCTCACACAGGCCCTGTTCAGGGGCATTTTCTCGCCCTCCGCGTCCAGGGGTGCCCCACTGGGCCTCCCAGTTCCTCAGAGGGGACAGAATCTGGGTTCGTCATCGACCCACTGTGAAACCCACACAGTGTTTCCCCTTCCCCTTCCGGGCGTCTCTGGAAACCTGCCCCTGAGGCCGTGCCCAGGCCCCAGCAAGACCTGCGTGCTCAACCTGGGCAGGGGGCGTGGGAGTGCCCGGTGGACCCCACTCTGCTGGGAGGCGTGATTCTGCCCAGAGCCCTCAGCTCTGTCTTTCCCCGTTTCCCCGCGCCTGGAGTGAGCCCCTGGGCCTTTCCTGACGTCCTTCCCGCAGGACTTCTCTCGGGTATGGCCTGCCCCCCAGAGCCCCCTTCACATGGGAGCTCCACCCCCACCACCTTCTTAGTTCTTTTCCTGCAGCTGTGGTCACAGACAAGGATTTACTCTCCATTCCCCTCGGGTATTCCAGAGGCTCCAACTTGGGGGGTCCTCAGGACTCTGCTTCTCGGCAGATTCTGGGGGCGTCTGAATCCACCAGTTGCTGGGGGCAGGGGCCTCTCGACTCTCCTCCATCCCTGCCCAAATCTTGGACTTTAGGGCTGCCCTCAGGCTCGACGGCACCCGCCCATCAACCCCCAAAGACCCTTTCTTGAATGACCTCATGGGTGCTGGGGGTTAGGATGTGGACGTCCCTTTGTAGGGGACCGCTGCTTAGACATCTAACACCCCCCAGCTCTCCCCCAGAAGGGTCACAGCCAGTGAGGAACAGGGTGGGTGGAGGCCCCCAGCTTATCCTTGGTGTAGGGTGCGTGGGGCGGAGGGAGACTCTCGCGGAAGGAGTGGGCCTGCATGGAAGCCCAGAGAGCACTGCAGAGAACTGGGGAGTCCCCAGGCCCCCAGGACATGTGGAGGAGAGTGTGTTCTCATCACCTCACTTCCCCAGGACAGTCCAAGGGGTCATGTGTGACTTAACTTCCTGCCCAGACCCAAGCCAGGAGTCTGTGCTTCTGAAGCAGCATCTTCTGCCCTCCCAGAAGGCAAAGAGGTGTTAAGGGGGGTCCTGGCTGGGGTACCTGGAGGTGACCTAGGAGCATCAGGAGAGCTGAGCCAGCAAGCATGCACAGCGTGTCCGCGAGGACCGGGTCCTCCCCCTGGGCCAGCGCTGTCCCCCCCACATTGCAGGGGTAAATAGTGATCCTTATCAATCATGTTGACATTTTTCTGACTGGTTTGAGGAAGTGAACCCGGAGCCTCGTGCAAATTAAGTGCTCACCGCTGAACCCCGTGACTAGCGGGGATGATGACAGAACGGAGGGCCTTACTGGGTGCTGCCTTGGTGCTGGGCACTGTTCTAAGTGTTCTAAGTGCTCCCAGGTACCCCAGACATTTTCTTCCGTTTGTCAGTGAGGAAACTGAGGTACGAAGAGGAAAATCCAAAGGCCCAAGGCCACCAGCAGGAAGGAGATTTCGCGGACGGTGCTCCTGAGCCAGGGCCCATACCCCCAGACCCAACTCAGCACTGCCCTCATGGCTGCTGGAACTCAGACCTGCTGCCCCGCGTGTGGCCAGTGTTTGGGGAGAGAAGTGGAATGAGAATCCCCTCCCCCAGGGCACAAAATCATTGGGTGGTTCCATGCTCTGGTGCCCTCGAGCTGAAAGATTTGTGACTGGGGAGAGGGTTAGAATAAATTTGTAATTCAATCCGGTTGTCTTTCTTTGATGCGGTTTTTATTTTATTTTCATGACAAAATCCCTGTTAACTGGAGACAAAAAAAAAAAAAAATACCCTGCAGGAGCTAGAGACAAATCAACAGCTATTACACATGTGTTTTTTATGCAGGAGGCCCTGGTTTGATCCCTGGCACCTCCCAGAGTGAGCGCTGAGCATGCAGCCGGAAGCTACCTATGAGCACTGCCGGGTGTGCCCATAAAACACACAGAGTCTGGATTTTAAGAAACTGATATTGGAAGGGCTGGTCTTGCATGCAGCCAACCCCCTTTGGATCCCAAACATGAGCAGGAACAGTTGTGATGGTTGCAGAGTGTGACCCCCATAGAGACCATCTTCCTGCCTGGGAGACCCCGGCTCTGCAGGCCAAGCACAGGTGGCATCACTCAGGATCCACATTCGAGCCCCCGAACCACATCGACTAAGCCCCACCAGCAACCACCCGAAATAACTGCACAAAAGAGGGCTGAAGAGATGGTTCAGGGATGAGGACACTTGCATGTAGCCGGCTCTGGTTTAATCTAGACGTCACTGGGAGCGAGCTCTGAACACCCCCCTAAGAAGCATTATTACTGAGGATCCTGTCCTGTGCTTGGCAGTTCTTAGCCATGCTGGGGTCTCACAGTGACTGAGATGTGACACCCCCCCCTCCATCCCTACCACCTCGTCTGGCTCATGGCTCCGGGGGACACATTCATGGGGATATTTAAGGCCCCCAATGCTCCCTTTCTGCAGGTTTGGGCCAGCCTCAACCCTCCTTGTCTGAGCACAACGGGGGACTGGGTTTCACCCGAAGTCCACCCTGGACCCTCTGAACACTGCCCCAGGACTCTGCCTCCCTCCAGAGGCCAGGCCTTGTGGCTCCCAAGGAGGCTGCATTCCCTGTAGGTCAGGCCTGGCGCATGAAAGGAAAATGGTCCTCCATGCCCTGTCTGGGCCCTGGGCCCACAGCACTGGGGGCCTGGCCCTGCCCCCCAATGAGAAAAGCGGCGCCACAGGAGGTCCCACAGTCCTTGTCCACGGCCCACTGGACTGTGGTGACTGAGTACTGACCACGTGCTGGGACGTGTCTGGCGACAAGAACAGCCTGCAGCCAGACCATGGAGAGGGGAAGAGCTGGCTCCATGTCAGAGCTGGGGAGCAGAAGGGACAGCAGGCTCAGTGGAGGGGCCGTCGACCGGGACCCCTGAAGGCAACTGTCAGGAAAGGGGAAGAGGGTGATGGCAGACCCGAGATGCTCTGCCTGTCACTCATAATCTTCTGGATTGCAGCCCTGCTGATTGCAGCACTTGTATATTTCCTTCTTGTTTCTGGAAAAGATCCAGATCAAGGGGCCCCTTTATCTCTCTTCTGTGGCTTTTACACAACCAGGGCAGAACGGGGCATCTGATGAACATCTGAGCTTTCAAAGACGAAAAAGAAATGGACAAAGGGGCTGGAGCTCAGGTTTTGCATGCCAGAGACCCTGGTTTCATCCTGGGTCCACCCTCACCCCACAAAGTTCCTGGCACACTGCCAGGTGTAACCCGAAAACCAACCAGAAAACCTGGGTCGGAGCATTATACAGTGGATCGGACACTTGCATTGCACAAATCTCAGTTCAATCCCCAGCACCCCATAAGGTCCCCTGAGCACAGCCAAGTGTGATCCAAAAGCTAAAATACAAACCCTGGGGCTGGAGTGATAGTGCAGTGGGTGGCACGCTGCCTACCAGGGTTCAATCCCCGGCATCCCATGTGGTTCCCCTAAACATCACCAGAAGTAACTCCTGAGTGCAGAGCCAGGAGTAACCCTGGGGCTTTGCTGGGTGGGTGGCAAAAAAATACACAATTTTTTTTTTTAAATAAACCACGAAACAAAAAAAAAAACCCTATAGATTTTGTTCCCCTCAGGTATTACAAATGTTATAAACCTAGTATGTGTTCCTTACCACTGGATTATGGAAGTTAGTATTGTGCATGTTAGTCCAAACTGGCAGGCTATCGAATGTAGCCTGCCCACACGGCAGAGTCTGGCGAACTCCTCGTGGCGTACCCAATATGCCAAATACCAGTAACAATGATGGGTCTCATTCTCCTAAAGAGCCTTGAATATAATCTCAGGGCTAGGATGAAGGAGACGTTACTGGGGCCTGCTCGAGGCAATCGACGATTAACAGGATGATTTCTGATTTGTGATTTTGTGAGTATTGTGCATTATAAGTGCCAGGAGCAGCCCCTGATCACTGCTCTGGGTGACCCAAAATCTTAGCAAAAGTAGGGGGAAGGGGCTGGAGCAATACCACAGAGAGTAGGGCGTTTGCCTTGCGTTCGGCCAACCTAGGTTCGATTCCCAGCTTCCCATATGGTCCCCTGAGCACCACCAGGAGTAAATCCTGAGTGCAGGGCCAGGAGTAATCCCTGTGCATAGCCGGGTGTGACCCAAAAAGAAAAAAATTAGGGGGAAAGGATGGAGATGTATATGTATCAGGCTGCTCTGAGCCCTTTGGAGGTCAGAGCTGGGATGAGCAGAGGATGCAGTATCCAATGGACAGGGTTGCCAGCAGCCATCCTGCGGGTTGAGGTGACTGTTGGGGTTCAGGCAGGAGGTGTGGAGTGCTGCAGCAGGAGAAGCATGAGCCAGTGCGGGAGGGGAAGCGCTGGGTCCTTGGTGGTTCCGGGTTTCGTGTCTGTGAGGTGGAGCAGTCACATGGGGGTGGTGGAGAGCCAGAATGTGGGGAGTCTGAGGGTGCCCAGGCTTTTGCTTCCGTACACCTTGAAGAAGGGACCTGGCTGTCCCAGAACCCCATGGGGAGCTGCTGGGTGGTCCTGCTGTACCCCAGTGGCCATAGACTCTGGGGCCTCCCCCTAGCCCGCCTTATCTAACTTCGTCAGTGTTCCTGTGGCTTGGGACGGCACCCTGCTACATCCATTTGTCATCCTGCAGAAAGCAGTTGACTGGCTTGAACTGTGGATCCGGCCCTGGGGCTCCCAGGATCCCTGGAGGGCAGTGTACAAGCCAGATTGGGGAGGGACGCCTCAGCAGAGCAAGTGCCCCCCCCCCCCCCCCCCGTGGTGTGCTGACTGGATCCCTGCACCTGGGCCCTTCTCTCTGTAAATTACCTGCTCTCCGTGGCCAAGCTCCCCACATGTCAGCGACACCCAGCCCCCTCCCTACCTGGGATCTAGTCTCTAGTTTTGTCTTGTTTGGCTTTGTTTGGCTTTGTTTTGGTGGTGGTGAGGTCATCACTCTAGGAGTGGTGTCAGAACTCGCTCTGGGGTTGGGGGACGAGGACCAGGCAGTGCCCGGGATAGTACTTGGAACCCCTCACCCTGACCTCCAGCCCTTGGAGCCTGCTCCCCCCTCCCCAACACACACACACACACACACACACACACACACACACACACACACACACACCCCGTTTCCAGTTTTGGAGGCTCTTTCGCAAATCCTATGGGAGCAACTGGCTGAACCAGGTTGTCTTTCGCCCGGGGCCCCTGGGCTGGAAAGACGCGTGCGCCTGCGCACTGGCCAGCCGGCGGGTGCCTCTCCGGGCGGGTGCCGTGCCAGGGGCTGAAAGCTCGAACCCATCACAAAGCTCAGGTTGACATGAAAATATGGCCCCGCCCCGCCTCACCCCAGAAGTGCTGCGAGCTGGCAAAGCTCCCCGAAAGGCAAAGATCCAGCTCGCTCCTGCCGCGGCGACGCGGAGAAGCCGGCGCGGATCCCTCCAGGCTCTGGCGTCGCGTTTGGCTCAGCCGCAGCGCGCGCGTCTCTGCGGCGCCTGGGCAGCTCCTTCGCCATCCCCACACGCGGGGGGCACGCCTGGCAGGGCAGGGGGCGCCCCGTGCGCGGTCGGGGTTTGAACCCGTGGACCGCCGCAGTTCCAGCGCCTTCACGTCGGCGCGCTCTCTCCGGCCCCCCTCCCCTCTTGTCGTGTCTGCTGCTTTTGGTTTGGTCATGTTGGAGTTTTATTTCACTCCGCATTGGCCCAAAGCGTCTGCCTTTTCCTTTTGTTACCTATCTCGATTTGATTTTGGCGGGGTGGTGGGTAGGGCTGGGGGCTACACCTGGCAGTGCTCTGTGCTCAGAGATCACTTCTGGCATGGCTGCGGGACTCATTGGGGCGCGGGGGATCCCACGCACGGCAGCTGCATGCAGAGCAGGCGTCCATCCCGCTGTACTGTCGCTCCGGATTTGGTCTTGATTTGGTAAGGATTCCTTGCCCCGGAGGGTTTGTGGCTTCAGGTCTGTTTCCACCTATGGACCTGGCTACCCACGGTTTCTGTTGGAATTTCCACTCTACAGTCACCTGCGCGCACCACTGGGTGGTGTTTTACTTTTGCTGTGGTCTGGAGTTGGATTGGTATCTTGGTCGTTAGGTCCCCAGACAAGTGGAGGCTGATGTCTTGCAGAGCTTGATATAGCCCTGATGCACCCTCCTCCTCTCCTGGGACCCTCTGTGGATTCCCCACAGTACATCTTCTTCCCTCCTCCCGGACCCCTTGGTCAGTGCTCCTGAGTGCCCCAGTCTGTCCTAGGCCTTTGGCACAAAAAAAAAGCTTAAAGAAGGGGCCGAAGAGATAGTACAGAGGGTAGGGCTCTTTCCTTGCAGATGTCTGACCTGGGTTTGATCCCTGGCACCCCATAGATTCCCCTGTGCTAGGTGTGACCCTAGAGCACAGAGTTAGGAGTAAACCTCAAACACCACCGATATGTAGCCCCCAAACCAAACAAATGAAACCCCCCAAACCAGAATCTCCTGTCTCAGAATCCTACAGTGCCCAGTCTGATCAAAGTTTCTTTGGAAGGAAGATTGGGGGTGTTGGGCCAGACCTGGGGTGCTTGAGAGCATGTCCCAGCTCATTGCTCAGAGGTCATTTACAGGAGTGCTCTGTGGGTCCTGCGAGGCCGGGGGTTGAATCTGGAGCTTTTCACACACTAGGCATGCGCTTTGCCAGCCACGTGCTGCCCTTACTAGCCTTTATTTTTTCTTCTTTTTGTTGTTTTTGGGTTTTGGAGCCACACCTGACAATGCTCAGGGGTTACTCCTGGCTCTCTGCTTAGGGACCACTCCTGGTACTGCTTCGGGGACCATATGGGGTGCCAGGAATCAAATCTGGTCAGCTGTGTGCAAGACAAATGCCCCGCCTGCTGTACTAACTCTCTGGCCCCCTTATTTCCTTTTCCTTAAATGTATTTAATTGCAGGGGCCGGAGTGATACGACAGCGGGTAGGGTGTTTGCCTTGCTTTTTTTTTTTGTCTTTTGGGTCATACCTGGCGATGCCGAGGTTACTCCTGGCTCTGCACTCAGGAATTTCCCTGGCGGTGCTCAAGGAACCATATGGGATGGTGGGAATCGAACCTGGGTTGGCCACGTGGAAGGCAAACACCCTACCCGCTGTGCTATTGCCCCAGCCCTGGGCGTTTGCCTTGCACGCAGCAGACCTGGGTTTGATTCCTGGCATCCCATATGGCCCCCCAACACCGCCAGGAATAATTCCTGAGTGCAAAGCCAGGAGTAACCCCTGAGTATTGCTGGGTGTGACCCAAAAAGAAAAAAAAAAGTATTTATTTGCTTTTGGTTCGGGTCTGCAAGTTCTAGGGACTAGGCAGTGCTGGGGCTTGGCAGCAGGGTTCTTGCACGCACTGCTGCCCCCAGCTTGTTGAGGCACACCCCAGTCCTCCTTTTTGTCTTCTTCGGCTAAGTAGTCAAGGTTCAGACACTCAGGCTTTAAGTCCCCTGTCCCTATTTCACTTTCCTCCTGGCCTTGGGCAATGAATTTTACTCCCCTTTTCCTGTCCATGGCATTCGCTGCTTTTTGGGCTGTTGTACTGCACCAAGGTGGAACCATCTTGTTCTTCACTTTCCTGCAGAGAAAAACCTCGTTCACCTCCTCTCAGCCTCTGCCCCATTCCTCAATCCTGAGGGATGTCCTCAGGAGCGTGAGTGCACGTGCGTGTTCACGCACGCACGCACATGGTATGTGTACACATGCATGCGCATGGTATATTTTTCAACTAGAGAAGAAAGATTTACCCCAGACCCTCCAGGGAGATTCCTGAAGCTCTCATAGAGCTCCCCGGAAATGAATGTTGAGTCACGCAATCTTAGAGTTTTACCAAGAACAGACCACCATGCCCTGGAGAGTTATTAAGCTGTTGACACCAGCCAAAACCCCCCACCTTTTCCACACCCATTTTTGTCAAATCCTGATGTTTTACTTATTTTTAAAACGCTTATCTAAAAAAGATTTTTTTTTTAGCTTTTTGGATCACTCCCAGCGATGTTCAGGGTTTTTTTCTGGCTCTGCACTCAGGAATTACTCTTTAAAAAGTGAAACAGGAGGGGGCTGGAGCAATAGCACAGTGGGCGTTTGCCTTGCAGACGACTGACCCAGGTTCAATTCCCAGCATCCCATAGGTCCCCCAAGCACCGCCAGTAGTTCCTGAGTGCATGAGCCAGGAGTAACCGCTGTGCATTGTGGGGGGTGACCCAAAAAGCAAAAAAAAAAAAAAAAAAAAAGTGAAACAGGAGGTTCAAAGCAAAAAGTACAGAGGGCAGGACACTGGCCTTGCATGCAGTTGACCCCTGTTCCATCCCAACCACCACATATGGTCCTCCCAGCCCACCAGGTGTGATCTCTGAGCGCAGAGCCAGGAGTAAACCCTAAATGCTAAAGGGTATGTGTGTTGGGGATGGGGGTGGGGTGCAGGGGTGCTGCCTCTGTGGTCGCTGACCCCTCTGCCCTCTCCTCCTGCAGTGTACCACTGGGTGGAGATGCGCACCAAGCTGAGCCTGATGGGTTTCAAGAGCCAAAGCATCAAGCGGCTGAACGAGGAGGCGGCCGCCGACTTGGGCGCCGAGCTGCTAGGTGAGGCCACCATCTTCGTGGTGGCCTGTGGCTGCCTGATCCTGGAGTACCGGCGACAGCGGGTGCAGAGCCGGCGCCAGGATGAGGAGCAGCGCGCCGCCTGGAACGCTCTGCGGGACGAGCTGGACCATCTCGCACTGGCGATGGAGGCGCTGCAGGCGCAGGTGCAGAGGCCCCAGCTGTGGGGACCTCCCAAGCTCCCCACGCCGCAGCCAGCGGCCTCCGCGCCCCTGGCAGCGCCCTCCAAGCCCTCGGTGGCCCCCACCCCCCTGGCAGCTCCCTCCAAGCCCCCGGTGTCCCCCGCGCCCCTGGCAGTGCCCTCCACGCCCCCGGTGGACCCCGCGCCCCTGGCAGCGCCCTCGGAGCCCCAAGCATCGCACTTGGAGCCCCAAGCATCACACTTGGAGCCCCTGACAGTGCCTTTCACATCCCCTGCAAATCTGATTGTGCCCCCTGTGCCCGAAGCTGTATCCCTGACAGTGCCCTCTGTGTCGAAACCCCAGGTCTAGGACCGGGGTCGGGGATGCGGGAGCCTGGCCGAGAGGTGACTGGTTCAGTCAGGCAAGAGATGGGCTCTGGGGTCCTCCATCCAACCCCCCCTTTGGTCTGGAAACTGACCTGCCCTCTGCTCCCTTCCGCTGGGATCCCGGTGGGACACACTCATGCACCTGCAACCAGCAGCACTCAGAGACCTAAACAGGGACCTTCCCTGGAACCCTCACCTGGCACCCAGAACCCCCTCCCCTTCTCATCAGTATGGCCCATCACAGGTTCCTAGGGACCACCCCTGCCCCTGCCTTTCATGTACCTCACTCTGGCAATGGATGGCACCTGGGGCATGTTGGCTCTGGGGAGATGCCTGGTGCCTGGGGTCCTACCCACACTGAACAGACCAAAACCCTGCTGTTCCTGGAGGTCACCACAGTGGGTGGGCAGTGGGGTAAAGGGTCTGGTTCAAGGCCACCCCATTTTAGTGATTAGGTTGCACTTTTATGCGGTTTGGCAGCCACCCGGGCAGTGCTGGGCCATTCCTGGCTAGAATGATCCCTGGCGGTGTGAGCATTGGAGCAGGTTGCTCCATTTTTCAGTTCCCAGCATCCCTTGCCTGACCCAAGTTCTGGACCAATTTGTGCCATGCCCAGCGCCCTTTTTTTGAGACCCCCTCAGTTCTCCAGTTACTAATGGGGGTCACTGTTTTATCCCCAAACCTTCCCTTCAAACCTGCTCCTGCGAGTACTCAGGGATCCCACTTCCTGCCTCCAAACTGGCACCCCCAGTCTTTTTTGTGTTTTGGGGCCCCACCCAGCAATGCTCAGGGATCACACCTTGTGGGGCACAGAGGATCGTATGTGGTTCCAAGGACTGAACCCAGATTATCTGCATGCAAGGCAAAGAACCCAGATTATCTGCAGGCAAGTGTCTTCACTTCTCAAGCTCTTTGGCGCAACCCCGTACCCCAAGGTCTTTCTTACCAACAAGCTCCCCCCACCCCCATGCAAATGGAACGAGCCAACACAGAAGGGGGCTGTGTCATCTACTACCTTCCTGGCCCCCAGAGCTGACTATTTTTGGTGACTGCCTCCCCCGCCCCCCCTTAACCATTAAAGGAACAGCTTTGGAATGTGAGTCCCATAATGCACATCTGTGAAACAGAGCTCCCAGAAACCAGGAGGGTTTTGGTGAGAGGGGAGTCCTGTCCCACAAGGGGAAACTGAGTCACAGAGGACACGTAAGGTCTGGCCCATGAGGAGTAGCTGTGACCTTCTCCTGGGGGTATGAAGTTGAGTGGGTGCGGTGTGCTGGTGGGGGGCAGGTACAGGTGGGAGGGGGGTCAGTGGGGGCACAGCGAGGGCCCATCCCCCCCATTCACAGCACTGTGCCCTTCAAATGATTCCAAAAATCTTCATGTTTATGAAAACTGGCAGGTTTATTCTGCAGGGGTCCATTTTCAAGAAGCTCGAATGAAGGCAGGAGAGGCCACCACTCCCTTCTCCTCCCCTTATGGTCTTTGCCTAGAGGGTAAAAATGTTCTGGACCCCCAAACCTACCCAAATTAAAAAAACAAACACAAAAAAAAATAAACAACAAATGACAACAAAAAACAGCTGAGGTTCCAAAAAGTTACAGCATCTTAATTCCTCATAGAAAAGGGGAAGGAGCCAGAAGGAAAGGAGGTCCCTGGGGTTGGGGAGGAGGTACCCCCAGCCTGGAGGGGCTCCCCCCTTTAAATAGCTGTCCCAACAGGGACAAAAGGTGGGGCTACGGCATTTAAAAACTCCCCACACCCCGTTTTATCAAAACCAAAGAGAACAAAAATTTCCCTCCCCCCCAACCCAAATATATATATTTTTTTCTTAAAAAAAAAAAAAGTTTTTCTTTTTGAAGGCATTAAGCGTTAAAGTGAATGTAGAAGGGGGACTGGGGTGTTCCCTCCTTCACTCCCCCTCTCTGTGGACCTCATTGGTACATCCCCAGAAGAGGACCCGCCCCCAAGGGGAAAGGACCAAAAGGAGCAAAGGGTGGGGGCCTCCCCAGCCAATCAGCAGCCAGTCGGGGGTGCAGGCGTGGAGCCAGGAAAGCCACGCCCCGTTGGAGTTTTCCAAGTGGGACAGGGAGTGGGGAAGCCGCATTCCTGTATAGCCCTCAGCCAGTTCCAAGTCAAGTCGAGGCAGGGAGTGCAGGGGGCCAGGCGGGGTGCAGAAGGGAGACACAGGATCTTCTGGGGCCCTATGGTCAAGGGGAACCCCGCTTCCTCAGCTCCTGGACAAAGGCTGGAAGGAAGCAAGGGGCAGAGGTCAAGGTCTGAGCCACACCTCACCTGCACCAGCCCCCACATTCTGCAGTGGCAGGGCGGCTCACCTTCAATGATCTCTTCTTTCACTTTCTGCAGTTCCTTTCTCACTTCTTCCAGAAGCTCCTAAACAATGAATTTACTTGTTTGTTTTTGGCTTGGGGGCCACACCCAACTGTTCTTAGGTGCCCTGGCTCTGTGCTCCGGGGTTGTTCCCGGCCAAGCTGGGGAACTGAACTCAGGGACTCCGAATGTGCTCAGCCTGGCGAGTAACTGCAGCTGCAAATAACTGGCTGGAGTTTATCGGGAAAGGGGCCGGGTCTTGGCCAGAGGAATTTTCTTCATCCAAGGGTCAGAGGATGCAGATTTATGAGTACCCTGCTGCCTCCACAAGGTCAGTGAGCAGGCTACCAGCTGACTAGACAATTCGAAAGGATAGTCTTGGACCCGAAGAGGCAAAAGAAAAATCCTGGAGAACATCCAGTTCCAGGTGCTGCCAAATACATTCAGGCTGACTGCGGCAGACTACAGACTCCGGGCACCATTGGTGGTCTTGGTCCTGGAGCCAAAAAGGCTCTGGGTACTCGTGGGGAATAAGTACAGTGTGACATTAGGAAGGTCTATCCCTGGCATGGAAAAGGGGCAAAAGGGGCATGGTATTGGGTCATCCCTGACGCTGACCTAACCTCTCCCTTTCTCAGACTGAAAAACTGAGGTTTGACGGGGGGCACACGAGCTGTGTTTATAGCTTATTCCTGGCTTTGTGCTCAGGGATCACTCCTGGAGGGGCTCAGGGGTCCCTGTGCAGTGCCGGGAGGTGAAAGTGCCATTGGTTGGCTGCGTGCAAGGTTGGCACCTACCCCACTGGAAAACTGAGAAGGCTCAGCTCAGTTGCAGACACGGGACGGAGATCTCCCGTACTACCTCCCTGCAATATTCGCAGAGCCCCAGCCTCCCTTCCAACCCCCACCCCTCGCTACCTGCTTCACCCGCTCCAGTTCAGACTCATCACTGGAGCTGGACATCGCAGGGTGTGCCTCGGATGTGACCACAGACGAAGAGGACTTCATCCTGCACGGTTGGGTGGAGGAGAGACATGAGACCAGAGGACCACCCCCTCACCCTGCGCCCCTGCTTAGGGGGACCGTGAGGTCCAACCCCAGTCTTGCCGACTTACCTCGGCAGAGTTGTGCTGTTCTTCTCCCAGGGTCTCCGCACAGATTCTGGTAGCAAAACCAGAAATCACAAAGATCAGCCCCGGAAATGCACATGATACCCCAACTCTACTTTTCTCCTCATTCTGTTTTTTTTTGGGGGGGAGGGGGTAGTGGGAATGGAGCTTGGGGGCTGGGGCTTCCCCTGCTGGTATACAGAGCTTACAGTCTGAGGTTGGAAGCAGGGTTGACCACCTGCACTCCTGTACTGTGGGGTCCTTCCTCCCCCGCTTTATCAGGCCGGGTTCCAAGAACCATCTCAATGGACTACAACCCCAGGTATGATTTGCAACGGATCTCCCCGGAGGAGACTTTAGCTGGAGAACGGGGCATGCTGGGACTTGTAGTCCCCAGCCGAGGCTGGGCACAACTCACCGCTGTGCACTGGGACTCGGGCCTCTGGCTCCTCCTGCTGGTGGAAAATTAGATCGTCAGGAATAAGCCCCAGCCCCACCTCTTCCCCAACCGGCTTTTCCCGGGTCAGAGTCCCCCATGCCGGCCGGCCGCACTCTCTCCCTTTCAAAGGCACAAGCAGCCCCAACTCACATTGGCAGATTCATCTTTGGGGGGCTTCTCCCCAATTTGTGTGGCTTTCCTTCTGCAGCAGGGAAATGCAGAAATTGGTGCCGGCCCACCCCTTCCCCGACCCCCAGCCACTCAACCACCCCTGTCCAGGTGGTTTTTCCACCTCTAGCTTTGGGGTTTGGGCTTTGACCCCTTTGGGTTCTTCTCCACTGGAAAATCAGATTTGTCACCACACAAGGCTCTCCCGGGATTCTGAGACAAGACTTCCCAACGCGGGGCTCTAGAACCTTCTCTAGGAGACCCTGGCTGCAAACATCAGCCAACGGGGGACATCCCTGGCATCCTGTCCCCCGTGGCTAGCTGAGCCAATCTCCTGCTCCAAAGAGTGTTTCTGTAATTTTTTTGGGGGGGAGGGCACACATGGTGGTACACAGAGCTCACTCTTAGTGGGCTGAGGGGCTCTATGGGATGCTGGGGATCAAACCCAGGTCGACCTAGTGAAAGGCAAAGTTGTCCCCATCACACTAGCGCTCCAGCCCCAATTTCCAGAACTTTAAGGGCGGGCTCACCTGCGGGCCAGCATGGCGTTCATCTCTTCCATCAGCCCCCCTCCCGTGCTCCGGCTCTCAGCTTTGGGCCCTGGGGGGGGCCCCGAGGCCTCCTCCTGCTGGAGAAATCATAAAGACCACGGGCTGTAGTGGGGGGCCTCCTGCCATTGTGCCATCACCCCCACCCACCCCCCACACTTCTCACCTTACTGACTTTCCTGAGTTTGGCGCCTGCGATGGCTGCAGCCAGCCCGGGCGCCCCGACCCCTCCGCCACCGGGTCCTTGTGCTGTGGGGAGAGGGGGGGCCGGGGGCGGGCCTCCCCCAGCTCCATGGCTCGGGGCTGAGACCCCCGACGGGGGCAGGCCCGGTGGTGGTGGGGGACCCGGAGGTGGGGGCGGCCCGGGTGGGGGCGGGGGGCCTCCAGCGGGAGGAGCAGGGGGACCTCCTGGAAACACACAGAAAGGAGGGGGTGGCGTTGAGCTAGGCGCCTTGTCCTCAGGGGTCGTCGGGCACCACGCAGGGGGGGAGGGGCTCACCTGCATTGGAGGCCCGGCGCTCCAGGTGCTCAGGCAGGCCCGGCGTCTGTCTGAGGGGGTGAAGGAGGGTGTGGTCACTCGGTGCCACGATGATGATGTGCCCCACCCCCCACCCAAACCCCTAACTGTTTGGCCCTCCCAGGGAAGGGTAGTGTGGTGTCCTGAACTACAGGGCACTGGATCCTTTGAACCAGCAGGTTCAGGGAATTGGCAGGGGGGTCAGGGGGAGGTGGGGGCAGGGCGGGGGCGTCTGGAAACTGCCAATTCCCGGTCCCTAGCTGGGACTGGGAATCAGACCCTTCTGGAAGCTGAAAGGGGTGGGGGGGTGTAAGTGTCCTGAGTGGCCAGCCCACTGGTCCCACCTTTTCTGCTGCTCCGCCTCCTCCGAGAAGGGGCCGTTCTGCGTCGGCCAGGTGGGCGGTGCTGCGGGGGGCGGGGGTCCACCTGCAAGGTGAGAGTGGAAAGTGGCATAACGTCATCAGGGGCACCCCAGCTTTCCAGTTTCTCCCCTGTGGCTCAAGAATCCGGCCCAGCTCCCCCTTCCTCCTTCCTGGGAACCTGCCACCAGTCTGAGGTCGTGGAGCCGCCCCGCCCCAATGAGGCTGCACAGGCTTCCTGGGGTGGGGCTCAAAGGACCAGAAAGGGGCCCTTCACTAGCCCCCAGGCCACCGACCGGAATCTAGAGGAATAAACTTGAATTCCAGCCAGCCAGGAAGCCTGGATCCTCCCTAAGGCTTGGGAGGCCTCAGCACTGGGCACCCCCACTCCCAGGCTTCTGGTTCCCAGGACCTGAACCAACCAGCAGTTTTCTGGGGCTGCCAGACAGGCCACCTCTCTTCAGGGGTGCAGGGAGGACCAGGAAGCAAGCACCTGGGATTCAAAACCACACAGCTGCAGCCTCAGCCCCTCTGTCCCCAAAGTTAGGACCCACCACCAGGGTCTTGGAGGGCTGGTTAAAAAAAGCAGCAATGGGGCTGGAGAGATGGTATGACGGGGAGGGTATCTGCCTTGCACGTGGCAGATCTGGGTTCAATCCCCAGCACCCCATATGGTCCCCTGAGCACTACAAGGTGAGCCATTCCTCCCCTAAAAAAAAAGACAAAGAAAAGTAATGTTGGTGTCAGAGCAATAGTACAGCAAGTAGGACACTTGCCTTGGGCACAGCTGACCCAGGTTCTATCCCTGGTACCCTAGATGGCCCCCTGAGCCCCACTAGGAGTGATCCCAGAACAGAGACAAGGGTGTGAGCATCACTGGGCGAGACCCAAACCCCCCTAAAAAAGAAAAAAGTGCAGGGGCCAGGGAGAGCTGCCCAGTGGTGGGCAATGGATGCTCCATAGGCGTCAGGGCCTGAGTTTAAGCCTTGACACTGCGGGTCCCTGAGTACCACCGGATGTGGCCATGGGGGACCCCGGTGGCCAGAGGGCCGTCTTACCGACCCGCCTATTCTGCAGATGAGTAAACTGAGGCGGAGAGGAAGGACGGCCCCAGGCTTTGTGGCAGGGCTCAGGGGTCCCCCTGCCCACTCCCTGCCCAGCCGCTTCTGACCTTCCAAGGCTTCTAGGGCGCTGGCCATGCCGGCGGCAAACTGGGCCGCTTCCTCCTTGCTGCCAAAGTTCAGGCCCCAGACTTGGCGGGCATCACGCCACTGGTGGAAGCTGGGGGTGGCCTGGTTGTACTTGACCCCCCGGACAATGGCACAGTTGATGACCACCTGGCAGCAGGGAAAAGGGGGGTGAGGGGGTGCTGGTTGCAGGAGCTGGAGGGGAGGGGGCACTCAGCCCCCCAGAGCACAGGGGACAAAAGGGCGGGGGTATTCACCTGCTGGTCCGGTGATAACTTGCGGCCGACAACCCGGAAGGAATTGGCCGTGGGGTTGTGGTAGATCTGGACACGGCTGAAGGTCTGTTGGCCGGTGCCCGCGGGAAGCCAGCGCTTATTGCAGTCATCATACAACATCACAGTGGCCCGGCTGGAACAGACGACCGTCTCGCTGCCAGGAGGGGACAAGGAGAGGGACCTGGTCAGCCCAGGGACAACCACCGCCTCCATCTGGGTGGTCCTGGGAGACTGGACAGAGACATCGTGTGGGGGAGAGAGAAAGCGCACAGAGAAAGCAAACTAGGGCTGGAGCCATGGCACCGCGGGGAGCATGCTGGGCTTCAAGTGCCAACCGGGGTTCGATTCCTGGCAACCATAGGATGTCGAGCTCTGCCAGGAATGACCTCTGAGCATTGCCAGGTTTGGCCTAAAAAGCCAAGAAAACAGAAACGACAGAGGAAGATAGAAGTGAAGAGAGGACACACAGAAATGGACAGGGAAAAAAGAGACCCCCAGAGGGAAGCAGGCCAGAGGGGCAGAGACCCAGATCTGGCCATCAGGAGGTGGACAGACCAAAGGGCAGGCAGGGGGATGTCAGGCCTCAGGAGAGGGGAATCCCAGTAGCAGTGGGGGTGAAACTGACAAGAAAGGCAGAGCTGGAGGGGCTAGAGCGATAGCACAGTGGGTAGGGCGTTTGCCTTGTATGCAGCCAACCCAGGTTCGATCCCTGGCATCCCATATGGTCCCCCGAGCACCGCCAGGAATAATTCCTGATTCCTGAGTGCAGAGTCAGGAGTAACTCCTGAGCATCGCCAGGTGTGACCCAAAAAGCCAAAAAAAAAAAAAAAAAAAAGGCAGAGCTGGAGGAAGAGCCAGCAGCCAGCAGAGCGCAGAGGACAGAGAGGCAGTTCCGACAAGCAGGGAGTAGGAAAGGGACGGGGAGCGACTCAGGGCAGGGAACCAGCCCTATTTCTACCCAGTATTCTGGCCCCACAACCACCCTGCTGTGCTCATGGGAGGAAGCTGGGGCTCAGGGAAGCCAAGCTAACTTGCAGCAAGACAAGGAGCACTGTGAGATCCCAGGCTGTGCCACTTCCTGCTGCCCGCTCCACCATCCGGTCCCATCTCCCAGGGCCATCGGCAGACACTCCCTGCTTGCAGGACATGTCCTTGACAGGCAGTGACCCAGACAGACCCAACCCCACCCTCCAGGGCCTCCCTGTTCAATTTCTTAGCAGACAACGACAGGCCAGGGCCAGGGCACAGGCCCAGACGAGCCAGAAGGACATCCTGGAGGAGGCAGCAGTTGACAACCTTGCAGGAAAGAGTCAGCAGATGGGCTCAGGGTTCAGGATCTGACACCCACAGAGCCGGGTTCAAATTCCCACTGGAGGAGACTGGAGCAATAGTACAGCAAGGAGGGCGTTTGCCTTGCACGTAGATGACCCGGGTTCAATCCCCAGCATCCCATAGGGTCCCCTGAGCACCACCAGGGGCAACTCCTGAGTGCAGAGCCAGCAGTGACCCCTGAGCATCGCCAGGTCTGGCCCCCAAACCGAAATAAATGAAAATAAATTTTACAAAATGAATTCCCACTGTAGAAGTCAGCTGCTGCTGGAGAAGAGAAGGCGTTCATCCGGGGCAAGGGGAGGAACAGTGAACTTGGGCACAGAAGTCACTGGGCACAGGCGGGGCACGCACACACTCTTGTTACAGCCAGAACCCACTCACCTCTGGGTCCTGTTGGCCATGTCCCACCAAAACCCCCACCCCATCGGATTCTGCAGGTTGCGAGGTGGGGTGAGGGCTGATCCCTCCTCCCCCCAGGGAGGAAACTAGGCTCCCAGACAGGAAGTGACTTGCCCAAGATCACACCGAGCAGAGGTGGGGGCTGGGGGGGGGGAGTCATCACCCCCACCCCCACTGGCTCTTTCCTGAAAAGAGGAAGTGGGTGCTCAGAGGTTTCCGGGGAGCGCAATGGTCTCCCCGCAAAGGCACTGTCTGGGGGAGGGCTGGGAGCCTGGGGCAGGGTGAGACAGGACAGGGACAGCCCCTCTGTCCAGGCTCCTAGCCTAGTCAGTGGGCAGCTGGGACCCCAAGTTGCCATGACTGTACCAGTTTCCCCCTATGGTCAGCCTAAGCCAGTCCTGCAAAGTCCCCGATTCCCTCCCTGGCCCAGCCCAAGGGCGCTGCTCCAGCCAGTTCAGGAAAATGGCAGAGGCCCAGGGAAGGAGAGTGACACGGCCTGGGTCACACAGCACAGCAGGAGCAGTCCAGGGATTCAAATGCAGGCCACCAGGTCACACAGGCCCCGGGCCATGTGGAAGACTGCCCCCCACCCCATACCAGGTGCCATCTGCACAGCTCCGGGGGCTTGCACTGCCCCTGGCAGGGCCGGGCAAGGGCCTCACCCACACCTGCCACCCACACCCAGGGCCGGCTGGCGGGGTGCCCAGGCTTGCCGTTCCCCACCCTGCCTGCACTCTGCTCTCCTGGAGGGCCCTGCCCTGTGGAGGCTCGAGCTACCGGCCTGACCCCGAGCTGGCCCAGCCCTTCTTCGGGTGGCAGTGTCCGTTCCTGAGGGGGCTCTGAGCCAGGGAGCACTTGCAGTGGAGCATTTGCCCAGCATGTGTGAGACCCCAGGCCCTGTCCTTGGGACCACAAAAAAAAATCTGACTGTCCAATATCAAAGGTGGGATGTCTGGGCCACCTCTCAGGCCCCCCCCTCCTCCACATGCTCCCACAGAATCAAGGCCAAGGGTCAGCCCCTGGCTTCCCCACAGCCCAGTGGTCCAGCCCCAGAGTCTAGGGCTGCTTCTCCAAGTGCCAGACACGTGCCTGCCTCAGGCCGCACACTTGTGCTCCCACAGCCTGTGTGCTGCTCTCCGGCTCTCAGCTTAAAGGGCTGGGAACAGGGAGACGGCTCAAAAGCACATGCTTTGCATGTGGGAACTCCCAGGTCAATTCCCTGGTACCACAAAGTCTACAGAGCACTGAGCCCGAGTAACTCCCCACCCCCACCCCCAGCACGATCAGGTGTAACCACCCCAAAACAAAACCACCAGAGAAAAGTCACCTCTTCTGAGAAGCCCTCCCTGATTGGCTTCCCTGGACATGAGCACTCTCTGTCTGTCTGTCTGTCTCTCTCTCATCTTACATTCCACAGCTGTGAAGCATCAAGACCAGCAGGGCAGAGGGTTCTCTCCTCTCTGTTCTCTATTGAACCTAGAGACCAGCACACAGTAGGCACTCCACAGTTGTTCTATGAGCCACCTGTCAGCTATTCAACAGCAGCGGCCGTGGAGCGGGGGAGCTGGGGTGACCCGACACTATTCTAGGCACAAAGAAGGAGTCACGCCAGGTCATACAGCCGGAAGCAGAGGGGCTGTTCTCTGAGCTCGCCCAAGTGTGAATGTCTTTTGAAAGCGGGGGAACAACTACAGGGAAATTTTTGTGCTCCAAGGTTAATCCTGGCTCGGTGCTCTGGGATCTCTCCTGACGGGGTTAGGGCGACCACATGGGATGCCGCTGATCAAATCCAGGTAGGCCGTGGGCACGGCAAACGCCTCACCTGCTGTACCACATCGCGCCGACCCCCATGGGGAAATTTTTCAAAGGCGGGGTACACCGTGGTGTGTCAGGTTTTTTGTCTTAAAGGTGGGGAGGCTATAAATACCTCCTTACCCAGAGGCGTGATGTGCCACTTTGCAGGGGCAGAGCTGGGGGCTGCGGGGGAGGACACGGGCCAACTTGGCTGCTCACCCTTTGGAACTGTGGGGTTTATTCTGGGAGTTTGGGTTTTTTTTTTCTTTTTTGGGGGGGGGGGGAGCCCATACCTGGTGATGCTCAGGAATTATCCTGCCTCTGCACTCAGGGATCACTCCTGGCAGTGCTCAGGAGACCATAGGGATGCCAAGGATTGAACCAGAGTCGGTCACATGCAAAGCAAGTCCCTAACCCACTGTACTATTGTTCTGGCCCCAGCCCCATTTTTTTGTTCTTTTTCAAAAAATTTGAGGCCACACCTGGCTGTGCTCAGGACTTACTCTATGCTCAGGGATAATCCTAACAGGCTCGGGGGACCATATGGGATGGCAGGGATTGAACCCGGGTGTACCGTGTTCAAGGCCAGGGCCCTCTCCTTTCTACTATTGCTCCGGCCAACTATGTGGTTCTTTCTTCTCTCATATCTTTGCTTTCTGTGAAGCAGAAGCAACTATTCCCTCTAAGAAACAAACTCAGGGCCAGAGAGATCATCCAGCAGATAAGACGTCCCTGCCCCTCACCTTATGAGACCGGGGTACGATTCCTGGTAGGAGTTGTTTGCTTTGTGGTGCTCAGAGATCACTCTTGAGCCCTTATCAGGAAATTGTCCCTGAGCACTTCAAAGCAAACATGCAAACCAGGAAACTAATTCAGAGCAGGGAGGGAGAAAGAGAGAAAGAGAGAGAGAGAGAGAGAGAGAGAGAGAGAGAGAGAGAGGAGAGAGAAGAGGAGAGAGAGGGGAGAGAGAGGGGGGAGAGAGAGAGAGAGAGAGAGAGAGAGAGAGAGAGAGAGAGAGAGAGAGAATTGGAAGCCCGGAGCTCAGCTCATGGTCAGCAGGTTTGATTCCAGGCACAGCCAGGAGCGACGCCCAGGCACAGAGTTAGCTTCAGAGCACTGAGGACTGTGCGCCAAAGGAAACAAAATTAGGAATTCATGGGCCGCAAGTCAGTAGGGCTGCACTTAGCTGCAACAGGTGTAGAGCTGGAGACCCCCAACCACCACCAAGGCAGCCGCAGTGATTCAGTGCTGCAAGCTGGAGCTGGGCACAGAGCTAGCCAAGTATCACTGGGAGAGGCCCCCACAATTCCTAAGCCTTGCTTGGGAGCCCCAAACCACCACCAAAGAAACAAATTCACATTTTTTTTTTGGTTTTCCTGTTTTCTAAAAAGCTGGGTAGGAGCAACCACCCTGGGTTCGATCCCTGGCAACCCCACAGGGCTCCCAAAGCAACCACCAGGGATAACTACTGAGTGCATAGTCAGAAATAAGCCCTGAGTATCATCAGCTGAGGTCCCCAAACAAACACAAACAATCGTCATAAAAATAAACAAAAATCTTGGGGGCTGGAGCTATAGCACAGTAGGTAGGGTGTTTGCCTTGCCTGCGGCCAACCTGGGTTCGATTCCCAGAATCCCATATGGTCCCCCAAGCACCACCAGGAGTAATTCCTGAGTGCATGAGCCAGGAGTAACCCCTGTGCATCCCCGGGTTTGACCCAAAATGAAAATAAATAAAATTCATAAAAAAAAATTTTTAAAAAATCAAGAGACAGAGAGATAGTAGAGGAGTTAAAAGACGATCACCTTGGGGCTGGAGCCATAGCACAGCGGGCAGGGCATTTGCCTTCCACCCGACCGACCCAGGGTTCAATTCCCAGCATCCCATATGGTCCCCCGAGCACCGCCAGGAGTAATTCCTGAGTGCAGAGCCAGGAGTGACACCTGTGCATCGCTGGGTGTGACCCAAAAAGCAAAAAAAAAAAAAAAAAAAGACTATCACCTTGCATGTGGTGGACCTGGGTTCAATTCCCACCACCCCATATGGTCCCCAGAGCCTTGCCAGGAGTGATCCCCAGCACAGAGCCAGGAGTCAGCCCTGAGCATGGAAGGGTGTGGACCCAAAAACCAGAACAGAAAATAAAGCTCTAAGCTAATCAAAGTGGGACTGGAAAATCCCAAAGCCAGGAAGCAGGGAGGGAGATGGGGGTCCTGGGGGAGGGTATTTCCAGTGTTCCCCTGGGGTCTCTCACCCTGGATCTGATGCAAGAGTGTCTTAAGCCCCAGCCAGCTTAGGATGTCCCCACCCTACAAGCCTCCCACCCCCCGTTTCTGGAAAACTCCAGTATGCGGTGGAGCGAAGTAACTGAGGAACCCCTTAGCCTTTGGATGCTGAGCCCTCACTTCCAGCCCTAGAAGCCATAACTCAAGGGCTTCCTATAAGGGTTCAGAGAGATCAGAGAGATAAGAAAAAAAAAAAACCTGAGGCTTGAGGCCTGGAATTTGGCTCAGGTTTCAAACAGCAGAGCTGAGTAAGTCCAACAGGAAGAAGAGAGCTTCTCATCGCTGGAGGTAATCAAGCATAGTCACTCAGGTTTGCGCAAACCTCCCAGCTTTGACGCTTGCTCTTCCTTTCACCTACTCATTCTGACCCCCCCCCCCAACTTTCCCCACAACATCCTTAAACCAAAAAGCTTGTGATCACACGCACTTTTTCCCACCACAAATCTTTGAGATATCGGGATCAAAGGTCTGTGGGGCCAACACAGGCTCACTCTAGACCCTCCTCCTGGTGGCCTCAGTTTCCCATAAGGGAACAGGCCGGGAAAGCAGTCATCTGTCTTCTGACTTATCTGCAGTACCTTCAAGGCTCCAACAGGCAAAGTATGTGAGTCTCACAAAAAAAAAAAAAAACAAAAAAAACAATCAGAGGCTTTCTTTTCCCTCTTGCTTTTATCCCAGACAGCCCCTGAATCTGGTTCAGGCTCGCCCAGATCCAAGCTGCGTGAACTAAGCAATATACTAAATGTTGGGGAGCCTCGGTATTCTAGTCTATCAACTGGGGGAGGCAGGAGGGAGCCCACCACCTTTTCCAATGGCCCTGAGGATTAAAGAGAACTGGACACCCAGCACCCGCCCAGGCACTTCAGAGAGACTCCATCAAACGGTCTCTGATTACTTCACCATACACGAGAGCCCTGCTAATGAAGGCGCCTATTGGAAGAGGAAAGAAAGGTCCCTGAATACCTCTCAAACGCTTTCTGCCCAAGACCTCTGCCCCCCTTCCTGGTCTTCCCACAATCCCAGCCCAGCGCCCTGCACAGCAGACACTCAACAAATATTTGTCAAACTGGGAGAAAAGGAACTTGATCTTGTAATTTTCCATCTTCAAGTCGGCTCTGCCAACTGCCCCTGGCCAGTCCCTGCTGACCCACCAACCGGCCACAGATCCCAGATCCTCCCCAACGTCCCCTCTGTCCACACAGCCCAGGAATTCGCTCCAGGACACTGCCTTGGGCCACTTCTCCAGCTGCATCCTAGGAACCTAGGGTCCTTGTGAACCCTAACTTTCCCAGAGAGAAGGGACACAGCCCAGGATGTGGGGTGTGGCCACTCAGCAGGGAAGACCCCCCCCCTCAGTGAGGGGGTAGGGGTCACCTTTGGGTAGACTAGACTTCAGCTCAACTTCTGCACTACTCGCCATCAGGAGGTGGGAGGTTTGGCCTCGGTCAGCGGTGGGGGGGGGGGTCCTGGGGAAGGGCCAGGGCCTCAGGGCTGGAGGGGGGGCGGGAGGCTGGCCCAGACGTTGCTTCTGCCCTTTTAAGGCCTCGCAGTGAGCCAGCGGCACTAACTCGGACATCCGCCATGCGCCTGGGACCGGAAATGGGGCTGGGGGGGTGAGGGGCGCTGCTGGGGGTTCAGGGGAGCCACCCAAGCGCCGGTGAGGGCAGGAGAGCCTCCGGGGGACCCTCTGGGGCAAGGATGTGGCTCGTCGGGGTGCAAGGGGAGGCAGGGGGGTGCAGAGGGAGGCCCCAGGCTTCCAGTTTTTTTCCAGCCAATTCGGTGCAAAGCAGAAGAAACAGATGCAGGAGGATTCTCAAAGGGTCATCAAAAGGAAGGCGTCCCCCCAGCCCACCCCATGAGGTGGGGGGGTGGGGGAGAAGGATGTGGGCACCAGGGGGTTAATCCCCAGGCGGCCCCTAGAGCCGCCCCCTCAAGCTGGGGGCTTTGGGGCAGGAAGTCCCAGAGAGAGTGGAGGAAGGGAGATAGTATTGTCAGACTCAAGCCCCAAGGGAGAGATTATGGGGGGCGAGGGGGAGGGATGAGCTAGGGGGAAAGCTAGAGCGATCCTCCAGCCTCCAGAGGCCCCGCCCTCAGGTGAGCCAGGAGTTTTCCGGGAGGCCCATAAAGCGACAAAAATCCCCGGTTCCCGGGATGTGGGGGGGACGTGGTACACCCCCAGAATAAAATTCCTGGGAGGATCGCCGAGACTCTCTGGGAAGCTTGGGTCCCAGGGGGGCGGGCTGTGACCTTGACGCCTTCCAGCGGCCTCTCGGGCACCCGACCGCTCTGGACGTCCAGGCAGGGGGTAGGGGGTGCGGGGAGGGGGCGAGCCAGGCGAAGGCGCCGCAGCGGGGCGAGCAGCCGGCCCGCAGCGCTGCCCGCCGCCCCCCACGCCAGCTGTCTCGACAGGTGAGTCGGGAAGACAAAGGCCCCCCCTCCCCCAGCTGCCGCGCCCCCTCCCTCCCCAGGGCCGCGCAGGTGGGGGAGCGGGGCCGCCCTCGGGCCCCGGGCCGGGGCGCCGCCCTCCGCGCCCGCCGCTCCCCGGTCCTAGGCGCCGCCTGTTCCTGGCGGCGGGGGAGGGGAGTCCCAGTCAGACCCAGGGGCTGCGTTCGGGTCGGTCAGCACCAAGCCCCCTTCATCACCGGGAGACAAAAATTACCCCCATAAAAAGCTGGGGGTTAAGTACCCCCGAAGTTGAGAGGCGAGGTCCCGCTCTGCACTCGAGGAGACTTTTCCCAGCGTCAACCAAAGCAGGACCCCGCAAACCCCAGTCTTGCATCTCAATCCCCCTTCCCGGTTCCAGGGACCTCCAAACCTACCCTCCCCTGATCCGCCCCCCACCCAGATCCCAAGTGCAGATTTGGGGCGAGGGGGTGGAGGGGGCGTGCGAGCCCTGCCTACACCCGGGCCTCCCTGCGAGCACTGTCTGCCAACTTGCAGAGCTTGTGGGGTGGGGGGGAGTACAAAATCCCGGAGTCCTCGGAGCGCCTCTCAAATGGGAGGGCTCCCAGGAAAATCTCCGCGGCGGCACCCCCAAGCCCTGGGAGTCAGGGAGAGGGAATCGGGCCCTGGGGCTCGCTCGAGACGGCTCGGCCTTAAATCCGAGGCTCCCAGCACCCGGTCCCCAAATTCCAGCTCCGAGCGAGTCGGGGGGGAGGGGGACAAAGGCGGGGCAGGGAGCCCGCGTCCGGCGGCCGAGGCTCTGCAGGCAGTTTTGAGGCTCACCTCATGGTGGCTCGGCAGGCGGGCGGCGCACCCACGGGTGGGTGCTCCCGGGGCGCCCCTGGTTCGAGCTTCAGGGGTTCGGGGCTGGCTCCAGGTTCAGCTCAGTCTCCCCCAGGGTCCCGCCCCATAGAGTCCGGCTTCCTGGGGGGGACGTGCACGGGGCCGGAGCGGATCGTCGGGCGCCTCCTCCCTCCGGGGGCTTGATCTGGGGTTCCTGCGACAGAAAGGGGGTGCGGCGTCCCCTACCCGGCGCGCCCCCTCGGCCGGCTGCTGCTACAATGTTACACTTACTACTGTACTTCTCTTCGCTACATTTGGTTCCAAAATTCCACTCCCCGCACCCACAATGCCCTGCGCCTTAAAGGGGCCGCGCGCACCTCAAGGCGCTGGGAGGTGGGGCTGGGGGTGGGGGGAGGAGGCGAGTGCGGGGTGGAGGGCGCTGGAAGAGCAACGCGGAACCCTAAGACTTCCGCTATTTCCCTCTTCCTCAAAGAGATTACGAGATCGCACCGAGAGGCACTCCGGGGGAGGTTCACCCCCACCCAAGTCAAGGGGAGAAGCTTGGCCGTGGGGAGGGCTCGTTTATCTCCCAGCTCTCCCACACTGGGAATATTTAGGGGGCTCTCAACGGAGGAAAATTTCTTCTTTCCATTTCTTTACATCTTGCTTTACTGGGGGGAGGGGTGGCCCCGCAGAGGAACCTAGGCTGAGCAGAGACTCACAGATGCTGCCCCTTAAATCCGGTCCTGCCCCACCTCTGCTGATCTACTAGGGGTCACTAACGGGTATCCCCGCTCCCTGCCTCCAGCCCCGCCGGGGAAGGTGAGGAGGAAGTGGGCCGAGGGGGCGCGGCCGGCCGCTGACTCACCGCCGCAGGGGGCGGGAAGGGGGGGTGCGGCGCTGGACCTGGGTGGGGATGGGACAGCGGGTTCCTGAGCGGACTAGGTCCCTGACCGCCTCCCCCCGCACTCGTCCTGCCGTGACTCAGTTTCGCCCACGGAGGATGGCTGGATGCTCCGTAGTCAGAGGGCACGGAGGCGGTGGAGGAGACCCTACCCCAGGCGCTGGCTGGGGGTGGGGAAGAGCCCAGATGTACCCCGACCCCCTCCCAAGCTTCCGCAGCGAGGCCCGCCCCGCGTGACGTCACCCAGGCCACGCCCCTACCGGAGCGCCACCTGGCTTGGGTGCAGGGCCCCAGCCCCGGGATAGGAGCTTGGAAAATCATCCCTTGGGTGACTGGGAAAACTGAGGCCCGAGGCAGGGAGAAGTATGTAAACCGAGGCTCCTGAACCCCAGTAGGTGCGAGTTATGAGCAGAAAAGAGGCGATTTTCAGAACTAGGACGAGCTGAGGGAATCCACCTGCCCAGCAGTTGACCAAGCCTGGTTATCTGAGAGGGCCTCTCCCTCTTTTATTTGGGGAGGTTTTGGAAACCTAGCCCACGGGGTTTATAATGATTTCTGTGTCCCCTCGGGTTGTGGAGTCTTGGGGGGCTGAGATAGACTTGATCTATTCCTTTATCTCCCTCGACCAGCAGAAGCAACAACACTTCTCACCTCCAGGAGAAGCCTGGGGCTAGTGAGGTTGAGCAAACATTTTCCTCTGTCTCAGCATGACCATCTAACATGAGAGGGGTAAACTACTGTGTGACCCCAGCATTCCAGTCATGAGTCTGAGAGTTCCTTAGGGCTGGAGAGATAGCACAGTGTGAAGGCCTTGAAAGCGGTGGACCCCATTTCAATCCCCAGCACTGCATATGGCCCCCTGAGCACCTTCAGGAGTGAGCCCTGAGCACCGCTGGATATGGCCCCCAAACAAAATACAAAGAAAAAGAAAGGAAAGTGGGGTCTGAGCGATAGTACAGCGAGGAGGGCGCTTGCCTTGCATGTGGCTGAACTGGGTTCAATCTCCAGCATTCCTGAGCACAGAGCTGGACAGGAATAACCCCTGAGCACTGCTGGGTATGACCCAAAAACCAAAAAAAAAAAGAGAGAGAAAGAAAGAAAGAAAGAAAGAAAGAAAGAAAGAAAGAAAGAAAGAAAGAAAGAAAGGAGAGAAAGTTCAAGTACTAAATAATCCAGACACCTTAGATATGATACAGGGGGAGGGCAGTACACAGACATAGTACCAGGAGTAAGACACTTGGTTTACACACAGCCAACCCAGGTTTGATTCCTGATCACATATATTCCCCAAGTACCACCAGACCACCAGATGTGATCTCTGAAGACTTATTGGTATGACCTTAAAACAAAACAAAAGGGGGGCTGGAGCAATAGCACAGTGGGTATGGTGTTTACCTTGCATGTGGCCGACCCAGGTTCAATTCCCAGCATCCCATATGGTCCCCTGAGCACTGCCAGGAGTAATTCCTGAGTGCAGAGCCAGGAGTAACCCCTGAGTATAACCAGGTGTAACCCCCCCAAAAAAATCTGAAGCAATAGTACAGTGGTTAGGTTGTTTGCCTTGCACATGGCAGACCCAGGTTCAATCTCTGGCATCCGATATGGTCCCCCAAGTCCACCAGGTGAGATTCCTGAACTTGCAGACAAGAGGAAGCCCTGAGCATTATCAGGTGTGATCCAATAACAACAGCAAAAACAAAATGTGTGCACATGGTTTCAGTTTGTTTGTTTGGGGGTTATTTCAGCGATGCTCAGGTTATTTCTGTCTCTGTGCTCAGAGATCACTATCTACTGTATTATCACTATGGCTCATATTTGCAGTTTTTTGTTTTGTTTTGTTTTGGAGGGGAGGGGGCACAACAGCAATGTTCAGGGGTTACTCCAGGCTACACACTTAGGAATTATTCCTGGCAGTGCTAGGGAACCATATGAGATGCCAGGGATCGAACTTAGGTCGGCCATGTGCAAAGCAAGTGCCCTACTCACTGTACTATTGCTCCAACCCAGATTAAAGCTTTTTAAAAATGTCAAAGTGCCCAGGGATATAGCCAGATGGTAGAGCGAATACTTTGTATGTATGAGGCTCTGACTTTGATCCCAAGCAGCAGAAGGGGGGATTTAATAAAATGTAATGACTGGGACCAGAGAGATGATAATACAGAGGTTAAATCACTTGCCCTATGTGCAGCCAGCCCCAGTACAATCCCTGATAGGACATAAGGTCCTCCAGTATGGCCAGAAGAAACCCCAATCCCAAGCTAAGATTAGCCCCTGAGCACTCCTGTGTGCTGGATATTGTCCAAAATAATAAAAATTATAATAATCACTGTCACTGTCCTCCTGTTGTTCATCGATTTGCTCGAGTGGGCCCAGTAACATCTCCATTGTGAGACTTGTTGTTACTGTGTTTGGCATATCGAATATGTCATGGGTAGCTTGCCAGGCTTTGCTGTGCAGGGGAGATACTCTCGGCAGCTTGCTGGGTTCTCTGAGAGGGGCAAAGGAATCAAACACAGGTCGGCCATGTTGGCCGCATGCAAGGCAAATGCCCTACCCACTGTGCTATCGTTCCAGCCCAATAATAATAATAATAATAATGGTAATAATAAAATTAATTGAGACCAGAGAGCTTGAGTACAGAAGGTAGGGTGCTCACCTCGCATATGACCGACCCAGGTTTGATTCCTGACACCTGATAAGGTCCCCTGAGCCCCACCAGGAATGATTCCTGAGCATAAGCCCTGAGCATTGCCAGATGTGGCACACATACACACACACACACACACACACAAAATCTGCCCCAAACAGATAGTCCAGACCCCTATATCATAGAAAATCTTTTATTTTGTTTATTTATTGCCACATGCAGTGGTCCGCTTGCTCTGGACTCAGGAATTACTCCTGGCAGGGTTCAGGATACCATATCGGATGCCAGGGATTGAACCTGGGTCAGCTGCATACAAGGCAAGTGTTCTACCAGCTATACTATCTCTCCAGCCCATGCATGTGAGGAGTCTGATCAAGAGTTTTTTTCCAGGGTCAAGGGATTGCAGACCACCTTTAGCAATGCTAGGGGGTTGAATATATTCTGGGTGGCAACTGAACCAGGGTCTTTGTTAGCAAGACAAGTGCCTTTGCCACTGTCCTGTGTCTCCAGCTTCCTGATCTAGGATCTGTCTGAGCAATCATGTGGGAGTGAGAAGTTGGTAAGAGTCTCAGACGTTCTTCTCTTCTATAGGACCACCACTGCCGATCCCTTATCTGAATTGTGAGGTAACAACTTCAATGAATGAGGGGTGTGGAGCTGGAGCAATAGCACAGCGGGTAGGGCATTTGCCTTGCATGCGGCCGACCTGGTTTTGATTCCCAGCATCCCATATGGTCTCCCGAGCACCGCCAGGAGTAATTCCTGAGTGCAGAGTTAGGAATAAGCCCTGTGCACTGCCGGGTGTGACCCAAAAATTAATTAAGTAAATAAATAAACAGCACTGTAGCACTGTCCTCCCATTGTTCATCGATTCTAATATGCCACGGGGAGCTTGCCAGGCTCTGCCATGTGGGCGAGATACTCTCAGGTTGCCCGGCTCTCCTAGAGGGACCGAAGAATAGACCCAGGTCGACCACATGCATGGCAAACACCTTACTTGCTGTGCTATCGCTCCAGTCCAAATAAATAAATAAAATGAAAGTGCATTTAAAAGTTAAAAAAAAAAAAGAATGAGGGGTGTGATCAGAAAGAAATTGTCAATGGATTCTTGCGCAAAACTAACTCAAAACAAGCACCCGAAAGAGGCTAGAGAGATAGTTCAGCAGAGAAGGTGCTTGCCTTGCACACAGCTGACCCAGGTTCAATCCCCAGCATCAAATAGGTCTCATGAGCACCCCCAGCTGTCATTCCTGAGCACAGAGCCAGAGTAAGTCCTGGGCACAGCCAGTGTGACCCCAAAAGCAAAAAACCAAACAAAAATCACCCAAACACAAAACCCAAACAAGGCCCCACCTAAAGGCACTATATGTCTGTGTGGGCATGCAGAGTAAAAAATCTGGAAAAATCCATTCCCCACACTTTTACTGGGATTACTGGCAGACGGAGGAGGGGAATGAAAGTGTGGGGGACCAGGGAGTCCTACGGAATTTTGAAAATGTCAGATTCAATCCCGCCTCCAGGCTTTACCTGTCTGTTCCCGTGCTCTGCGGACAGGCTTCCCTGGCAAATGTGTGATTGCCTGCTGTTCTGATGGTGCTCCTCAGAGATCTTCCCTGAGCCCCCTGACCAGAGCTACCATCACCCCCACATCCCCAGAACTGTGGCTGTAGCTCAGTGGTGGAGCATTTGCCCTACATATATGAGATCTGTGTTCTCTTCCCAGCATTGGCGGGGGGAAATGGAGTGGCTGAGAGGCCGGCCATGGAGAAACGTTTTTCCTTTATTGGGTCCCCTTTAAATTTTGACCCAAGGGCTGGAGCAATAGCACAGCGGGGAGGGCGTTTGCCTTGCAAGTGGCCGACCCAGGTT